AATTTAATGAACTTATTTATTTATATTATGATAGTAATTTGTAATTTTAATTATTTATTCTACATCAAGATAGTTAGGTGCATCAGAAATTATACATTAATATTATAGAAGCTAGTGTGTACGCCGCTTTTGACTTTCAATAAGCTGGAAGAATTTCGGTCAGTTAAGTTCTCATCATAAAAACGGTGAATCCAAGCAAGTAAACATGCCTGTACATGCACCATATGAATACATTTTCTAAGAAATTGTACAGTAATATGCAGATAGATGTAATATTTCATTAATAAAATTTACAACCTTTTTTGAAATAACCTTCGTAAAAAAAACTTTGTCGCAAAAATAACCAGATTGACCGACTGAGTATGATGAGGTTTTAGATTATAGATGAGATGTACTTATAAGTAAATCTCGTCATATTCAGCCAGTCAATAAGTTTTTTTTTTTTATACAACTTAGAATGGCAAACAAGCTGACGGTCCGCTGAAGTTAAGCTTACGCTCGCATCATAACCATTTACAATATAATTAAACTGTGGGATCCGGATGGATCTGGAATTAGTCGACAAAAATACACAATTTACTTTTCACATATATATTAATAGATATCACAGCGAAATATAGTGTAAGGACCAATATGATTTCATTTTATAATAGATTTAAAACAAAATTATTAAAAATTTTAGTCTATGATGACCAATAAAACAGTTATTTCACAAATGTAATTTCGTGAATTTATCAAATGAAAATGGTTAAAGGTTAAAAATTTAGAGAGATGACACCTCAGACTCTGTCCCGACGTCTGTTTGCAAAAATTTTTAACAATAAAATAGCTAGTTCATCGAAAATATTTGTTGACCTGTGGCGCCGGTGAAGCGACGTCATTGGTAGAGAGAATGAAGTAGAAAAGTTTTGCTGCTAAGGACAATGGACTTGTTTGTGAAAACATATCACACTATATGTTGGAACACAGCAATTGTGTAAGAGTTAATTGTACAGCCAATGTTGGTATATTGGATATTAATTTGGCAAATTCGGATAAACATTTTTGTGTTAGAGTAATTTTGGAGATAGATAGATTTATTTCTTTGCGTTACTTACCTTCTGCACACAAATAACAACAGAAGGAAAAAATAGAAAATAAGAAATAGAACTGTGTGGGTATGGTGTGGAGACAATTTAAATGTTTCTTGATAGTTTTGCTCTTTGTAAAATCGTGCATATCATTAATAATAGAGTATACCAGCTCTCTAGATAAGTGGCAAGCAAATCCATTGATGGAATCGTTATCAGAAGGGAGTCCATCGTTAGAATGAGACATCCGACGTTGTTATCTCATTCTATCTCACGAACTAGCTAGCGATTTTGATTCCATCGATGAATTCGCTTGCCACTTGTCTAGGGGGCCAGTGTATATAGTAAAAGAACGTTAAGGTTTCAGCATAGAAAAAGACCATTGTTTTCGTCCTTTGCCTAGTAGTTACGCAACATTTTTTTCGGTGTACAGATATCTACATAAATAAAAAAAAACATTACCCTCCTTTTTCGATAGTCGGATAAAAAACAATATTCGAATAGATACAGCTACGTCGAATAAGAATATAGTTGTCATTTACAGTCAATTCGATAGCATAAAGCTGTGGAACTTGTTGAAATGTGGACTGCGTAAATAGGAACGCTGTCCTATTGACCCTTTTGCTGTAATGATCAAATGAGGTCAACCACAGTATATACGCAAGTGCAAAATAGAATACGTTTGTAACGACTTGATACTTATCGAATTAGTATTGACATTAAAGTAACGTTTTTTCTAATTTTAATACTGATGTCTAAAAGATATTTTGATTGTGCTGTCAAATTTCGAAAACTTTTGTTGCAAAATGCAACTGTTGAATTTCTTGCCAATTCTTCTCAGCTGATATTACATTCCGAATGAAAGGTTGAATCATAAATAAAAAGCCGGTCAAGTGCGAGTCGGACTCGCTCAACGAGGGTTCCGTACAAAACTATCAATATATAAAAAAAAACAAAATTATAATTTTGTTTTTTTTTTTTATAAAAATTTTAAACTAATTTACAAGTTTTGGATTTTTTCTTTTACTTATGCAATATGACATTGCTTCATGCCAAATTTCATGATTCTAGGTTAACGGGAAACACAGTATATGGTTTGATTCCCTTTGCGAATGTCAAAATATGTGATATATGTAAATGGGACATAAATAGCTGTTTCCAATTCTAAAGCTTCTAAATCGACGCTATCAAAAGATCGCGTTGCGAAGCTTGATTTTTTCACTGATTTAAGAGATTGCAGACCTGGCCCTCTAGACAAGTGGCAAGCGAATTCGTCGATGGAATCGACATTTGCGACATTTGGAATGAATTATCCGGCGTTGCTATCTCATTCCAACTCACGGACTCGCTAGCGATGTTGATTCCATCGACGAATTCGTTTGCCATTTGTCTAGGGGCCCTGAGTACACGATATTAATTTCAACATGATATCTCCACGCGTTCCTAAGAAAAAGGGTTTTGACAGGCGGACAGACGGACGGACATACGGACAATGAAGTGGTCCTATAAGGGTATAAGGGTTCTCTTCTTTGCTTTGGAGGTACGGAACCATAAAAAAGACTATTCAAAACTGCTTCTTTCTTATTTCGTATATGAAAATAGTAGTAAATCGAAACATTTAATCAAATATTCGGTATTTTATTTGTACTACATCTTTGTGTGTACTCTGTAGCTTAGTTTTTAATTCAAAATGACTGCTTTGTCCCAATTTAAGTCGGCTTTTATTTGTTGAACACAATCTTTTCCAGCAATATACGCGATCAGGTCAACCTCCACGCGGTTTCCCCTTGAAACCGTCGTGCTGAATTCCGAGTGTATTCATCACGATGGGCTAACTGATCGATCCCTGCATCCTCACCTATCATCCCTCACTGGGATCCCGCCAGCGTGTACCATTAGCGTAGGCGGGGTTAGCATTCCATTATAATTAATTTAAAAAAAAAATGTTAGCGATCTGATTGCTAACTAAAAGTGCTCTGGCACTTTTTAAATATAGATAATATAATACTAATGATATTCCTATGAACAAGAAATTACATAGAAGGAATGATAAAATAAAAACTGTACTATAAATAATATACTTCTTATGCAAGTATAATTAGCAAAAAGCGTACGAAAGATACACCATCAGTTGCTATTCTTCTCAATTCATAGCAGGCTAGTGTATAGAAAATGTTTGATATGTCAATTATTTGTCAATGACAAATTTTACAATACTAGATTATATTTTCGGCGCAGTTTATGTAGCTGCTTGCTTTGCCCTTAAAAGAGCAAAACACTGATATTCTGTTGTGGCCAAACTACTACATAGATAAAGAGTACCAATCCCCGTTACGGTTCTATATCTACGCATCTAAATTACCTAGTTATAAGTAAGTATATGTTACATAAAAGATAGAATCCATATTTATTATTCATTCTACAGTAATACTGCGTATGTATAAGGTATGGATACCCTACAGCCTAAATTTTCTCCCACGAATACTCAGGTTATGGAATGAGCTCCCTGCCGAGGTTTTCCCAAGAGACTACAGCATGAGGTTCTTCAAAAGGGGGGTAAGGAGGTTTCTTCAGGGTTGGCAACGCGCGCGTAATACCTCTGGTATTGCAGGCTACGGTAACCGCTTACCATCAGGTGGGTCATCATAAAAAAAAAATGGAACATTTATTGTTGGATAGAATAGTTATTATTATATAACAAAATCATTAGTTAAACGTTGAGAACACTGGTTCTCAGATCATCTCTCGCTTCATTGGGCGCCCGTCCGGAATTAACAATCACATGATGACCCGACATGACGTGAAAGTGCGGGTTCAAACCCGGTTCGATTGGAAATTTTTCAATCTATCAATAACTATTAGAATATAATTTTCATACTTTTATTTGAATAATAATAATCGATCGCGTGGTCCCGGCATAGAATAGGCCACCCGTTCTTTTCCCGTGGGTGTCGTAAAAGTCGACAAAGGGACGGCGAGAGATGGGCAACAGCGTCTGTCTTAAAATATCTCAAATTAATGAATTATTCACTTGTCATTGTATATTTTTATTTATGGTGCAATAAAGAGTTAAATAATTAAATAAATAAATATCTCTAAAGCCTGACTGCGATTGCCAATCCTCCTGCCAAGCGTGGCAACTACTGGTAAAAACCCCCAAGGGGAGGCTTATGTTCAGTTGTGGACTGATATGATGATGATGATGATGATTTCAATTATAAACCATTAGTGAAATTGAACATATTCTCAAAGGAAAACACAAGTCGAAATATTCAAAAAATAAAACTTTATTAATTTACTTTCGAAAACGAAGCTGGTACGGAAATCTCTAAATCCCTTTTCAATCGACTTCAATAAGAAGATTCTTAGTTCAGCTGTATTTTTTCATGTTTATTGCCTCACAATTCCGTTAGTTGGAAAATTATTTTTTTATCTATAAATCTATTTAAATAATGATGATTTGAATTTGTAATGTGAGATAATGTTTCTAAGATTTAAAGGATATTGCTTTTTTTTTTTGATGGGTGAAAATAGTATGGTTACACCGCCTGCGCTAACGGGATACGCTGGCGGAGCACCAGTGAAGGGTGATAGATGAGAATGAAAACAGGCCAGTTAGCCCATCATGATGAATTCATCAGGGATTAACCATGATAGTTTCCAGGGGTCGACGAGTCGCGAGGAGGTCGACCTGGTTGGGTATATTGCTAGCAATGGGATTCTCAGTTTCCATTACTAATAATCCCTTTCCTCCCAAGGTAATGCTTTCACACCCTGTAAATTCAGTATCGTAATCATTTTAGACATACATAGTCATACATATTTGCTTAATGGCAATAAATTGAATGGGATAGGGTAACACTATCCCTGCATGTAAAGCCGTGAGTAACAGCTAGTACTATATATAAATGAATAGTAATATTTACTCACATTTCCCGTGGTAACGTCTTCTTCTCCTATCCCCGAAGGTAGTTCCACCATCGTCTCCAGCCAATTGCGGCCTGCAAAATAAATATATATGTTTTAATCTTTTTTCTTAACAAAATGGACATTGCATATTTTCGAAATGATCTTTGTAGAGTGAACTAATCTGGAGACATTCAGGATATTATTTTAATAGACAACAATGGAGTGTTGCTCCTATTAACACTAACATAATGTTTTAAAATATAAGGTCGTGAAGGTCGACCGTAGGGTGGGTAGGGTGCTTTTAATGGGTGATAATGGAATGGTGACCCCGCCTGCGCTGTCAGTGTACGCTGGCAGGGTCTCAGTAAGGGATGATAGGTAAAATGAAAAGGCAAGTCAGTTTACCCATCGTGATGAATACACCTTTAATTTAGCACGATGGTTTCCAGTGGAGATCGACCTGACAGGGTATATTGCCAGCAATGGGACTAGTTGTTCGTTTTTTCTAACAATCTCTTCCTCCCGACCTAATACACCCTGTATTGCTAGCAATGGGGCAGTCAGATCCTATTACTGGCGATTCCTTTTGTTACCTTTGTCGGATCAATATCCCCGTTATTTCACTTTCATTAGCGATATTTAAACACATACTTTTAGCGATAAGGGATGGGCAGCAGCGTCCCTCTTAAAACATCTCCAAAGCCTAATTGTGGTTGCCAATCCTCCTGCCAAGCATGGCAACCACTGGCAAAAACCCTCTAGGGGAGGCTTATGTTCAGCAGTGGACAGTTAAAGGCTGATATGATGATGATCAATGTATACTATATCCGGACTTAGTATAAGTAAATAACAAAAACAGAAATGAAAATTATATAATAAACGAACTCCACTACGTAAAGGTGAATGACATTAGCGATATTTAGAATTGATGAGAATGTGCCTAATACACAACATTTATAACGAATTGATGTAACTGTGTGGCACTTATACTATTATTATGAATACTTGTAATGTCCAAGTACTCCAAATTCTATAATTAAGGAGAATTCTATTGAATATTCTAGATTTATTGACTTATATATGACGATACGTAGCGATTTTCGTCAAGTATTTACTTCTGACACTTTAAAATCTTTTTTGGTCTACAGTACTATGCAGGTACATGTGTGCGTGCGTGCGTGCTTGCGTGCGTGTGTGCGATCGTGCGTGCGTGCGTGAGTGCTTGAGTGCGTGCGTGCGTGCGTGCGTGCGTGCGTGCGTGCGTGCGTGCGTACGTGCGTGCGTGTGTAAGTGCGTGCGTGCGTGCGTGTGTGTGTGATTGTCTCAGAAAGTTATCTATCCATCGGGTTTTATTTTACATATTTTTATATATAATTATTATTTATTCTGATTAGATATCTGTATATTTATTCAATATCAACGCAGCTATAAAACAAACACGATGTGTCACTGTTCATAAGACTCAGATGATAGGAGGGAGCATGCCAGCGTCGCTTGCATTAATTGAGTTTATTTCATACAATTATGTTACTACCTTCGCAATAAGAGTAATGTTTAAAGAATCTTATATTTAAACAGACACGTCTACAGGTAAACTAATTTTGCGACTTCGAGCCTTTGAAGTTTGAGCAGAAACCGTCGATAGCAACAAGGAAATATATTTTGAGAACTAAATTTTATCTAGAGACATATTATAAGAGATCGTGAGACATATTGAGTACAGAGCTCATATTTCATATACCTAGTGTTTACACGAAAAAATAGAAAAAATAAATTTTATTTAATCAATAATACGTCCTACGTTTTATGTAGCGAAGGTTTAATATTACTTGAAGGTTTGAGTGACTTTAACTACCTATTTTCAATCGACTTTAAAAATAAGGTTTTTTATGTATGTTCGAACGGTATGAGTTGCTGGTTACATATAAAACGGATGTAAGAAATAAGGTCTATACTAAAGAAGCAATAATAAAAATACTGTAGGAATAACACCTGAGTCCTCAGGAATAGCAACGCATGGCGAAATAGTATACTCTGTTATGTCCATGGTACTGCTCATGTCTATAGGCGACGGTTACCACTTTTCATCAGGTGGGCCGTCAGCTTGTTTGCCATTCTAGTTGTATAAAAAAATACTTGATGTGTTATGATGATGAAAATACATCTATACATCCAAAATCAGACTTTGAATGTATGGAGGCTCGAGGTGGTAAATTGGTCCGAGTAAGAATCGATCCGGGAACCTAATTTATATAAAACATATATCAACGTTGCCACGGAGCTCTACATAATTATTTTTGGTACTGTAGTCACAGAATAATAACTGTATTGTACCATTATTTTTATACCTATTGATTATTGCTGTCTCGTGTTGTTGGCAAGTGTCATAAAGCAAGAGTCAGAAGGTTAAAAGAAAAAAAAAATAGAAAATTAAATGCGGCTTTCTTTTTATAACATGATGAACTTGCTCTTGCTATTCCCAAGGAGGGTTGACGTCAGACAGGCGGCCGGTCATAAAACTAAAAGCCAAAACCTTGGATAATATGAATAAAAACATATTACACCGACCCCAAATAATTGAGATAAAGGCAGGAAAATGACGATGGACTTGCTCTTGGCAACTCACCTGACGGAAAATAACGGTAATACCTAAAGCTATTCAACATCGTTTTCATACATTAACAAATAAATGAAAACTTTTTATTGTCTCTTTCTAAGAAGGATATAGATTATAAAAATAAACAATATATTAAAAAGAAAATTAATTACAAAACTTACATAAAAGCAAGAGGAAACAGTGGGCGGTCTTATCGCGAAATAGCGATCTCTTACAGACAATCTTAGGATGGAGAGGAAGGAAAAATTAAAATTGTATTTGGTTAAAGCGCAACAGAAAAATAATAGGACTAAAAAAGAGAAAAATAGGGGGCTATAGATATATTTTTCGAACGAGGAATCAAAAAGAACATTCTACTACAAAGTTCTTTAGTCTGTGGTTTCAGTCGTTGGCAGTTTGCACTAAGAATGCACTAAAATAATAGACAAAACCAATCGCTAGCTAAATTTTTCTATATATACTTTTTTTATTTTAAAAATGTTTTAAACAATAAATTTGTAAAAATACATTATACCTTTCTAGTTATATTTGTTACATTATAGTTGTTTATAATAAATCCATTATATTATATTTTGTTTATTATTCAACACGATATAGTGCGGATGTGATACGCTCATAACAAAGTTAGCATATTCATGAAGGATTATTCGTTCATTCAACTGTGAACGCAAACACACACGTAATTATGTTCAAATTACGGTGTTCCTTTTAAGATAATAACGACTTAATTACGATTCGACCGATTTTACGTGAATCCTTACTAATATTATAAACGTGAAAGTGAGTTTGTTTGTTTATTTGTTGCGTCATAACGCCTTAACGGCTTAACCAATCACTATAAGATTTTGTAAACACGTCCTACAGGGGATACAGAAGAATATAGGCTTTTTATAATGGTTAATGTACATACCCCAGTCATACGGACAAAGTTTTAAATAAGAGCTAGTTTATTGATAAACTTACTTACTAACACAATATTTTTCACTGTGTATTTCTAAATGGTTAATTTTAAAACGTATTTATTTTTTTAACACTAATCATAGCAGAAATAGATAGATATTATTTGAGTCATAAATTTAAAGCAAAATTCATACAATTAAATAAGTTATATAATTATAAAATAATACTAAATATATTAAATAATACAAAAATATATTTTCGCCATGTGTATCGCAGTGACCCAAATAGGCCACAACTCTTTATCAATTTTAGTTTTTTTTTATACAACTTAGAATGGCAAACAAGCTGACGGCCCACCTGATGGAAAGTGGTAACCGTCGCTTATAGACATGAGCAGTACCATGGACATAACAGAGTATACTGTTTCACCTATGATGCGTTGCCATTTCTGAGGACTCAGGTGTTATTCCTCTGTACCCAGTAAATTCACGCCATATCTCACCCTTCAAACCGAAACACAGCCATGCAAACACAACTGCTTCACGGTTGAAACACGAATGGGACAGAGGTCTGTTAATTTTACCTTGTTTCCGATTATCTGGAGACGGCATGACTGTCTCCCACGATGATCCCCCCCTATAAAATCTGAAAGCAAATTAATTGCTTTTAGTGAGTGAATTATCCATTTGCTCCAGCTTGTACTTCATGGTATGGATTACAATATAAATTTTATAGCTTGTAAACGCTATGTTCCTCACATAAATTCTTTAAAACATTTTTATGTAAATTATTCTAATAGGACTAATTCTTGGAGATGTCGGTAGGGGCCGCCCTAGACGGACGTATGTTGACCAAATAGGCGACGTGCCGAAGAAGGGCCAAGTTAAAAGTACCCGTAACCGGCGAGCATGTATGAAAAGATTGATGAATGTGGAAGAAGCGAAAGAGGTTTGTTTGAATCGAAGCATTTGGCGACTAATTCTTGTTATTGTTGTTAAGTAGGCTTTGTCAAGTAGAAAAACCTGTAACACTCTGACCTCTGTGATCTATTGTGCTCGCCATTTTTTTTTTATTTCGCTGTCAATTCCTGGCTGTGATAGAAATTTTAAGATGTTCTTAACAGCGATGTTTTATATCTCTTCAGCATAATATGTATTGAAATATGCCCGCTCGAAATCATTAAATTTTTCACATAACGTTTGTATTTATTTCTTTAATATATAGGTAATAGTTATTTTTCTTTTTATGTTTAGGTATATAAAACTACTATTTGCCTGCAATTTTGTACACGTGAATTTTTAAAATACGTAATCATTTTTAGATCATATATCAAGATAAAACATACGAGTACACCAGATTTTATATTAGGCCGTAAAGAACACAATTGTATAATTTTACTGGAACATACATAGTGATAGACAGATAGACAAAAATTGGCTTCTATTATTCATATTAAAATGCCTCACATTAATTTTCCTTAAATAACTCCTATTAATTTACAGGGTACATAGGAATAACACCTGAGTCCTCAGGAATGGCAACGCATGGGATATCATGGGCGGAACACTATACTTTGTTATGTCCATGGTACTGCTCATGTCTATAGGCGACGGTTACCACTTTTCATCAGGTGGGCCGTCAACTTGTTTGCCATTCTGAGTTGCATAAAAAAAATATACAGACATCGTCTCGATACAATTGTATTAACTCCTGGTCGCGATTTTATTAATTTTACTATAATAGTAATATATTAAAAAAATGGCGGCTAAGAGCATATTTTCGTGTGAAAGGAGGGAAAGAAGCAGGGGAGGGAGTTTACATCTCATCAAATCGTATTCACCTGGGTTTAAAGTCACAAAAAGTTTTAGAATGTACGCATAATGATACATTTAGCCATCTTTAACCCAACCCGCGGCTAACGAGCTGAGTTCTTTTCTATATTTACCACAAGTCTACAACAAACTAGTCTTTACCCATGACCTTACTCGTGTGATACTCGCATATTATATTGATTGCCCGGGAGGATAAGAAACTTATATCCTTCTCTATTCTAAATAGAATGTTTATATATGCCAAATTTCATGACGATTAGATGCAAAGCCGATAAAGCGCCAAAAAGCAAACCAACAAAGTCACTTTTACAGGGGGGAAAGGGATTGTTAGTAATGGGGTCAAATAACCTTATTACTAGCAATATACCGTATCAGGTCGGCCTCAACGTGGTTCCCCCTGGAAACCGTCGTGACTAATTCTAGTTTAATTCGTCAGGATGGGCTAACTGACCTACTTTCATCTTCATCTGTCATCCCTCACTGGTGCCCCGCCAGTGTGTACCGATAGCGCAGACGGGGTTACCATATCATTATCACTCATTAAATAAAAGTCACTTTTACATTTATGAATAAATGAATGAATGAATGAAAAGCTCTTTATTGTTCCCTTCAAAGAATGATTATCAAGGTTAACAATATGTACACAAACAATAAACAATACTAATAACAAATAAACAACAAACAATAATATAAATGAATAATTAATTACATAAACTTAATTACATAAAGAGGCAACAATGGGCAGCCTTATCGCTAAATAGCGATCTCTTCCAGGCAACCTTAAGACGGAATAAAGGAATAATTAAAATTGTATCTGGTCAAGGCGTGACAGAAAAAGATTAAGACTAAAAATGGGAGAAAAAAATTGCTAAAGGTAAATTTTAACTCACTGTAAATAATGTAAATAAAAATATACTTACACATAATAATAATAATAACTTATGATTACATTAATGGATATAAATAAATAATACATACATATATATGAATATACATACATAAACATATATAAAGACAAATATACTTAATATAGTGTATTTTCTAATTTATTGTTACGGTGTCAAACGAGCAGACGGTCCACCAGAAGGCTACCGTCGCCCACATTACTACAAATGCGACCCTTGTCCAATTTCTGTGGGTCTTTCAATTGTGTTTTCAACTTAGAATTCCCAAAAAAGTCAATGTCTCTGAAAAAGCATTTTTAAAATATTTTTGAGGGCATACATTTTTACTAAGACTCGAAATAAAAAAAAAATCACCAAAATTAGACAGAAAGCGCTCTTGCTGAAAATCAATCCTATAAATAAACATTAATTGCTAAATTTGTTGTTGACCATGAAACTTTAACCACTTACCATCAGGTGGGCCGTATGCTTGTTTGCCACCTCAATGGTATAAAAAAAACTTGAGAGCGACTGGACTAATTGGAATATTTTTTTTTTAATTATTCGTTGAAGTCTGAGAAAGGTTTATATGAAGAGAAAAAATCCCTGAAAAGAAACGAAAGAGTATTTATTTTTCCTATACAAACTGTTTCTATTTACCATAGTTAATAGTTTTTGTTAGAACGACGTCTATCTAGTCAAGAATATTCTAAAGGATAACATTAGATAGAATAAATATTGAATATAGGGGGGAAAGGGATTATTAGTAATGGAGACTGAGAATCTCATTGCTAGCAATATACCCAACCAGGTCGACCACCTCGCGGTTCTCCCTGGAAACTATCACGGTTAATTCCTGATGAATTCATCATGATGGGCTAACTGGTCTGTTTTCATTCTCATCTATCACCCTTCACTGGTGCTCCGCCAGCGTATCCCGTTAGCGCAGGCGGGGTTACCATACCATTTTCACCCATCAAAAAAAAATTTAATATAGATAGACAATTTATTTGCATTACTTACAGTACACAGATAACAACAGACATAAATAGACATGCACAGTAAATAAAAATAAAAGAATGCATACACAAAAAAAAAGCAAAATGTATAAAAGAAGTAACAATTTTTTCCTTCATGCGTGTGTCACAGTAACACAAAATAGCCACAACTCAGCAAAAAGCCAGCCGCGAAATTCCTTAATAGAAATAAAAAAAGAAATATAGATAAAAAACACTGTATGTGTCCATTACATTTATTATAAACCTACCTAAGTCGATTGCTTAGGTACCTCTGTCCCATTCGTGTTTCAACCGTGAAGCAGTTGTGTTTGCATGGCTGTGTTTCGGTTTGAAGGGTGGGATATGGCTTGAATTTACTGGGTACAGAGGAATAACACCTGAGTCCTCAGGAATGGCAACGCATGGGGGTATCATGGGCGAAACAGTATACTCTGTTATGTCCATGGTACTGCTCATGTCTATAGGCGACGGTTACCACTCTCCATCAGGTGGGCCGTCAGCTTGTTTGCCATTCTAAGATGTATAAAAAAATATTCTAGACGAATAAATAATAAATGTCATTAGAAGAGGGGTAATGAGAGCTCACTTTCCATCTATTTATACTCTTTATCTACTCATATATACATATTAAGTAGCACTTCAGTAATGATCCAGATATTGTTGAATTATGTTTATAAATAGACGTGTCCAGCGTCCATTCCCTAAGAGACCTCAACGTTCATTTACATATACAGGCGGGTCATGGATTTGCATAATTTATTCAAAAAATATCAACAACTTCTTAATCTGGAAAATTTATAATAAAATCCCACTTTTTACGCAACGAAAGCGACCTTCATCTGATAAACCAGAGGGAGACTTTGTACAAAAGTCGATTGTTTGGGTACCTCTGTCCCATTCGTGTTTCAACCGTGAAGCAGTTGTGTTTGCATGGCTGTGTTTCGGTTCGAATGGTGGGATATGGCGTGAAATTACTGGGTACAGAGGAATAACACCTGAGTCCTCAGTAATGGCAATGCATGGGGGGTATCATGGGCGAAACAGTATACTCAGTTATGTCCATGAAACATGAGCAGTATCATGGATGTAACAGAGTACTCGTATACTGTTTTGCTCATGATACTCCCCATTGCATTGCCACTTTTGAGGACTAAAGTGTTATGACTCTGTACCCTGTAAATTTACTGTCTTATCCCACCCTTTAAACCGAAATACAACAATGCAAACACAACTGATTACGATAGAAGTACGAATGGGACAGAGATGCCCAAGCAAACGACTTTTGTACAAATTTTCTCTCTCTCTCTGGTAAGGTTATTTAAGTTTATTATTAAATTTCCTTAGTAAAAGAAAGAAAATTCTGCCATGAATCGTATCAGATGTCACAGATGTCCCCTAGAGCAATTAAACGTTACAGTCCCCGTTTGCACTGCTTTCAGTAAATGACTGTATTGTTCTCAAATACCTTGAATTGAAACTCACGACACGTAGTGCGAAGGTAACTTAATTACTTACTTCCAACTTAAAGTTCATTTCTTAAGATTGTTTTCATATAAGTTTAAATTACATTCACTTTTCCAGTTAGAAGGACTTTTACCCGGTTGCTTTCAAGTAATTTTAAAAATACACTAATTTATAAAATACACTGATTTTATTTTATTATATTAATAAAATAATAACTGGACGATGAAAGATATTTAAGAAAAATTGAAATAAAGTGTCTTATTATTTCAGCCGTTAACTGTCCACTGCTGAACATAAGCCTTTCCCATAAGGGGAGATTTGCCAGTAGTTGTCACGCTTGGCAGGCGGATTGGCAACCGCCGTCAAGCTTTAGAGATGTTTTAAGAGGAACGCTGCTGCTCATTCCTCGCCCTCCCTTAGTTGCCTCTTACTAACACCCAAGGAAGGGGTGGTTCATTCTATGTTGGGGCATACACGACGTAAGCCAAAGCATCGCACGAAACTGATAATGTTTTATATTAATACATTATCTAAAAATGGTTTATTTCATTGATTTTTCTATCTTATGTATATATATATATATATATATATATATATATATATATATATATATATATATATATATATATATATATATATATATATATATATATATATATATATATATATATATATATATATAGTTATATTGATTTAAAAATTTAGAAAGCGATAATAATTTTTGATGAAATTTCTATAGCACAAATCTGTAAGTATATTTTTTCAGATAAAAAAGAATTTTGCAAATCAGTTCACAACTGATGGAGAACGGGATGTCTTTACTGATCAAGATAATACCATCCTATATAATCCTTTACCATCCTATATGGCACGTGTATACCTAATTTCATAATGATTGATTAAACCGTTAAAGTGATATAAGGTAACAAACAAACTAATTTTCACATTTATAATATTAGTAAGTGTTTAGGATTTATTATGATGTAATTTTGGAAATAATCAAATTAAAGACGGAGACTAATTTGTATGACTTTTATAACGAATAACCAACAAATGAATAGAAAAAATGAATCAACTTATTTTTGACGCTTTCTTGGCTAACAAAAAAGAATCAGGCGTTTAAACATGCCCCCCGGCGTTGAATGCCGTGGCTTCAACCAGACAGTGATGGCAATGGACAAATCTTGCTAAAAGCCCGTCGAATCACTCCGGTGGACGTTTTTATATCAGCAACCCGTACTATGCCGTCAGGTCCAGGATGAACTTCCACAATTCTTCCCAATTTCCACTTCAACGGCGGAAGATTATCCTCCTTGATCACTACTAAAGTGTCCAACTTCAAATTATCCTTGCAGGAACGCCATTTAACGCGTTGTTGTAATTCTGCAATATATTCTTTACTCCATCTAGTCCAAAAATGTTGACGAAGTTGTTCAATGCGTTGGAACCGTGTAAGATTATTCGTGGAATATAATCGATAATCTCGTTCTGGTAAGGATGTGAGTGATCGGCCAATGAGAAAATGACCTGGGGTCAGTGGATTGTAGTCTGCTGGATCCGAAGAAAGTGGTGTTAGTGGTCGAGAGTTTAATACGGCTTCAATTTGTACAAGTGTAGTGTTAAGCTCTTCGTAAGTTAATGTACAATTACCCAACACTCGCTGTAAATGGTACTTGGTCGAACGGACACCCGCTTCCCAGAGGCCTCCGAAATGTGGCGCATACGCCGGAATAAAATGGAAATTAATACCGTCGTTTGCTGCACTTTCACCTAAAGAATTAAAATTAGCCTTTAGAAATTTTGATAAGTCGTTGTATGCACCAACAAATGACGTACCGTTATCAGAATAAATATTAACGGGTTTCCCTCTTCGTGAAATAAATCGTCGTAAAGCCAGTAAATAATTATTGCTCGTTAGATCTCCCACCAGCTCCAAATGAATGGCTTTAGTCGTGAAGCACACAAAAACCGCAATATACACTTTTACTAGTCTGCAACCGCGACCTTGACGATTTGCGCACATAATAGGGCCTGCATAGTCAACACCAACAGTCATAAAAGGATAACCACCGGAAAGAAGACGCTGCTGTGGTAAATTTCCCATCAAAGGAGTAACGACCTTACCCTTTATGCGTGTACATTTGATGCAATTATGATAGCAAGTCTTTGCTAAATTTCGACCACCTATGGGCCAATAACTTTCCCTAATGGACGCCAACAATAATTGAGGACCAGCATGTAATAATCTTTTATGCTCAAATGTGAATAATAATTTTGTAAAAATGTGAGTGGACTGTAAAATAATAGGGTGTTTTTTGTCATCAGAATAATTTGAGTTGTCAATACGACCTCCAACACGCATTATATTATTTTCGTCTAGGAACACGTTAAATTTTAAGAGTGGACTTTTTTTAGGTAAGCTTTCTTTATTCAAAAGTAATTTATACTCGGGAAAGGATTCGTATTGACAATTTGAAATTATTAAAATTAAGGAATCTCGCAATTCCTTTTCACTTAAAAATATTGAGACTTCTGGCAGCCTT